CTACCTCCACCACCTCCTCCGCCACCACCTCCACCTCCTCCTCCACCACCACCGCCGCCACTGCCACCACCACCTCTACCACCACCCCCACCACCAGCTCCACCTCCACCGCCACCTCCACTGCCACCGCCACCGCCTCCGTCGCCACCACCAATGAACCGAGGCAGGAGGTGCGGAGGTCCTTTGTCAGCAGCAGCCTTGCTCAGGGACCCTCACTTAGCCCCCCCCACCCCTTCTCTGCCAAGCACTATCCACTTCTGGAAACCAGCTATAGCCCTTTCCGTCGGGGTAGACTCTGCCCACGCTGTCTTGCCAGATCCTCAGAATCAACCTGGCACACGGGATGGGAGGGAGGACACTGTTTCGCTCTGTTAGGAATCCCAGGCTGGGGGACGTGAATTGAGCGACTTTCCTGACATCGTGCAGCTGGTAACAGTGAGGATAAAACTAAAACCAGTTGCCACTGACTGGGCTCCCACTTCTGGCAACCCCAAGTGCATCAATCTGGTTCAGAGCAGGCTGATGGGCAGGGGTGGAAGGAGATGGCCAGGCCTTTCTTCTGAGGGCCCTCTGAATGGACACCCCACGTTTCATTAAGCCACCACGTGCGGAACGGTTGGCACCACCCAGGGACTCAGAGTGCTTATTTTGTGCCCGGGGTATTGGGATGAAGGTTTCCGCTGTGGTGTGCACATGCAGGTTTCATTTGCAGCAGCAGCCTGTGGTTGGTCCCTCATCCTGCAGACCGCAGAGGGGTTGATCATGTGCCTGGTCAGTGCTGAGATTAGAACCCACATTATCTGATGGCAAAGCCCGGACGCTTGACCTTTGCCCTGGATGGAAGCCAGGCTCTCTGACTCCCAATCTCCTGCTCTGTGCATTACCCCTTACTGCCCTGGGCCAATCAGAGGACCCCAGCCAGGGGGGTTGGGAGTGGGGGCGGGGTGCCCAGCCAGTTTCCTGGTCTGTCTCTATATGGTGAATACAGACGTCCCAGAGCAGCGAGCTGGACAGGCTCCCAGTGCTTGGCCCAGGGCCAGTCAGAGCAGGGAACATTTAGGGGGGCAGTGTGGAGGCAGCCCCCTAACCATAGAAACAGGCCCATTTCTTAAATATGTGGAGGGAGCTCCAAGACACCCCATCTGGGAGCCTGCCCTGAGAGCAGACCGATGGTTCGAGTCTCAGATGTCTGGGGTTTCTGTCTTCCCCAAGTGCTCAGGGACAGCTGTCTCTGCTCCTGCCTGGCCCCTCCTGGAGCAGACTGGCTGCCTGGAGACTGGTTCTCTTTCTGGGAAACAGGCACAGGGGTGGTGAGGGCTAAATTGCTCTCCCTCCGGAAGGCAGCTAGAAGAGCGTTTGACTCAGAACGAAGGCCCGTGGTCGTGTTTGCCGTTCTTGGTACTGGTGCTATTCTACTTCCTCTGCTCGTAGGACTTGTAAACGGTCCTCCTTCACGGAGGAAATGCATTGTTTAGTATGGGGCCTACAGCTCTAGGCCAGGGGCATGGCAGAGGAGAGGGCATTGCACTGGGTACCGCTCACAGGGACTAGGGGTGGGGATCAGGTGGCACACGACTCCTGACCCCTCTTCTCTCCCCCCCCTTTTCTGCCCCCCACCACAGAAGTACTTGTCCCAGCTGGCTGAGGAGGGTCTGAAGGAGGCGGAGGCAACAGGCAGCCTGAACGCGAGGCCGGAGGACAGCGGCATCGTGCCCCACTTCGAGAGGAAAAGGCTCTGAGGTCCCTCCTGCCCTGCCGCTGGCCTTTCTGCAGGGCAGAGACTGAAAGTGGGAAGGAAGGAAGGAAACGCAGGCAGGGCATGTCGCCGGCCTTGTTCTCGCCAGAGGCTGGGTCCACCCGGCATGTCCAGCGTTCCGAGGGCCACCAGCGGCCTCCTTGCTGACTGCCTTGGTTCTCGCTCTCGCACACACACATGTTCAAGCCACCTTTTTCTCTTCCTACTTCTTCCCTGCCTCCTGGCATACCAAGGGTCATGTCCTCGTCATAAACTCCCAGCTTCTCAGGGATGCTCACAGCGTTCAGATTCTTGAGAGGGGACATAACCTGTCAGTCCTAAGTGAGTCATCGAAGGAAACGGTTTAACAGAAGCCCCCCGGGTAAAGAGGGCCACATCCGGGGTCTGAAGTGAGGGGTCTGCTTCGTGCCCTTTGCGACATGGGGCTCCTGCCATCTGCCGAAGGGGCACCAGAGGGAACCTCTTGGCAGAAGTTGCATCACGAGCCTCTTCCTGCCTCGGAACCAGCATGGCAGTATGCCTGTTTGAAATAGCCTTTCATCTGCTCGGTTATTCTAGAAGCCCGCCGGGTTTGTGCCTTAAGGTGACCGTAAGTGGAGCTTTAGGAGAGGGAAAGGACCCCTGCCGTTCTGGAAACTCCGATCAGCTCCCCTGAAACTGATTTCCCTACTCTTGGTGTCAGGAACCTGGAGGGTTTGTTCTGCTCTGGACCTCCCCACCCCCACCCCCACCCCCCACCCCACTGGGTGTCGGGTCGTGTTCATTAACAGGGAACACAGAGGCCCTCCCTCAAGAACAGCAGTTACTGTGGGCTTCCGTCGGGTGGGAGGCTGGCCCCTCTGCGGGGTGTGCCATTGACTCCAGAAACAGAAAAACAAGGAAATGGCACCTGACCTTGACTCACCCTTGGTGCCTGCACTGAGCAACTGGGAGCCTAGCCACAAGGGGAGGGGCCGGGAGGGGAGAGGCAGACTGACTGACAGCCTCTGCCATGTGTGGGGTGTTTGGAGGTGGGTCCCTGCCAACTTGACAGACATTGACAGCACCCCAGGGCCGACCCCACATACAGACTTGGATGTCAAAGCGTTAAGGGGGTCAGGTCCCTCAAGTGCTTCCAGTAGGGCAAGTCAGGGCCTTCAGGGCCCAGAAGGACTGCAGGTTGGTCGGGGCTGACCTTCCACTGGGAGGAGTTTGGGTCAGAGGTGCTAGGGAAATGGGGCTGGACAACCGCCTTCCAGGAGACCGCAGGAAGGTCAGCCGGGGGAGTTGGGTGCTGTTTTCCCAAGCAAGATACTCCCCCTAAAGGCCCGTAGTGGTGGAAACAAAAGGAGGAAAACGTGTCCGTGTCCCTGCGCCGCTCCTGTTGTTTCTGTTTCTGACCACAGGCAGGTGCACCTGGAAGGGGGAGAGAGTGAGAGTGTGTGTGTGTGTGTGTGTGTTGTTGCTACTCTTTTCCTTTGTCTGGTGGCTAAGCCCTCCAAACGAGTGGAAGAAGGGTGGGAAGTTTGTCATGTGCCACACAGGTATTCTAGCAATCAAAGAAGAAAGGAAGGCACAGAAAGACGAGCCGTGGCCGTCAAATGATGGTGCAGGAAACGGTGATCAGGGAGGAGAACTGCCCAGAGGGAACCGCAGGAAGGCAAACAGGTGTGAGGAGAGGCTAGACGGAGCAGGAAACGAACTCATAGGTGACCTGGGGGCCTCAGGACCATTGGCAAGTGGGGTGAGTCCTGAAGATAGCGGCTTCGGTCAGGCCAGGCCTGTTCCCTGGCCACTTCCAGAGGCTTTAGCGTCTGGACTCCACTTCTCAGAAAACCTTTGACCCCTTCCTGCTCCCCCATGAGCCTTTCTTCCCACTGGAAAGAAGTGTGGGAGGGCAGCCCCGGCCTCCTCACTGAACACTGCCAAGAACAGCCTAGAGCAGTGGTTCTCAACCTGGGGGTCGAACGACCCTTTCACAGGGGTCGCCCCATTCATAACAGTAGCAAAATGACAGCTTTGAAGTCGCAAGGAACATAGCTTTATGGTTGAGGTTCACCACGGCATTGAGAACCACTGGCCTAGCGCCTCCTTCATCAGAGGCTGGAAACTGTGTTTTCCCAGAGGCTGGCAGCCTCATCCCCCAGTGAAGTGGAAGCCTACCTGACCAGCTCATTCCCCATGTGGCGTTTCCATGGAAACCTGACAGCCTTTCAAGCAGCTGCCTCCTTCAGGAACGTGATGGCTCCTTGCTGGAGACCCGGCCTCCATATTGGAGGGTTGGAGAGAGCCCCAGGGAGGGCGAGGACCTGCCCGCTCTGCTGTCAATCTGAATCTTCCGTTTTGAAACCATCTTAAGATTCTCTATTGGGGTGTGTGTGTGTGTCTGTTTATTGATTTCTATACAATTCCACTGGCGTGGCCCTTCAACGACTACATAATTTTCACTCACTAGTCCTTTGTCACACACAGCACAGTATTAAAGGCAACCAGGAAAATGATGACTGTTTTTAACTCGTGTTTGTCAGCCATTTTGAAGTATCTCTCCTAAAAGGTTGCTCAAGGGCAGGTGCTCCCTTGAGTAACAGATCCGTTGGTACCCCGGGTTAATGTCACCAAAGGCCTGTGTAACTTTCTTGTCATTGTGAACACCCAAAATAATGTATGTGGCTGGTATCCCCGAAGGAGTTGGTAAATTTGATGTTGGCATGAGCAGCCACGTGGGAGGCTGTGATCGCTTAGATGATGCTTGAACTGGACCAGAGCTTTTGATTTTTTAGCTTATGGGAAGAAGAGAGAAATAAAACGAGTTCAGTTTGAACTTGTAAAGGATTAGACTGTCGAGTGTCCTGTAAGTTGTCACTTTTCATGAGCTGCATAACCGCCCGCAAAGCGTTTGTTTTTACAAAAGGAAAAAGAAAAAAAAAGATTTTTAATAAAGCAAATTCGAAAGCTTCTGGCTAAGCGGCAATATGTTACGTATGTATGGAGTTGGCTTTGGGAAGTCACTGAAGACAGGTTGGGATTTGGTCCCTCTCTGATCTAGATGTTTCTAAAAGGTTTATCATTGGACCAAACACCTGCTGTTCACAGCTTGCTTGGGCCACTGGAGCGAACCTAAGATTCCTGGACATGAAACTCCAAAAGGGTGGACTGCTAGGGAAGTGAGGGGCTGCTGGCTCTTTTGTAGGCACCGTGTGGCTTCTTTAAAAATGACAGTGCAGTGGGATGAACCCCCATGGATTGTGTGAGCATTCTCACCTCCCAGATGGGAGACCCAGGGTCAATTCTTGGCCAATGCTCCTGGTGCACAGTCACCCCGTATAGCACGCATGTTGCGGTGATGGCTGAACAGGTAACAGAAGACCTTCTGATCCAAGGCAGACTAGGAAGAAAGGCCTGGTTGGTCTGCTTCCCCACATCAGCCAGTGAAAAGCCCATGGATCACAATACGATCTGCAAGCGTCCGTGGGGATAGTGCAGACCTGGGCAGCGTGTCGTCCGGTGGTACGTGGGCCCAGCCTGACTTGACGGCAGCTAACAAGACGACTCGCTACCTTGTGCTCGCCAATTTTCCTAGTGAGTGAGCTCTGCTCGCTCTGCACCGAACCATTTTCAGGTGGCTTCCTCCCCCATGAAGATGATGCAAGGTCCGAGCCGAGTCCTGGCCTGGCACCTGTCAAGCCCCATGACTTCCTAAGTTCTATTTCCTGCAGGTCATGGTATTAATCACCTCCCAGCGTTGTTTCCAGGTTAAGATAAATTACTCCAGAAGGCTATTCTCATGGCAGAAGGCACTGAATCGTGTCAGTCTTTGGGATCCGTGCCCTGGACAGAGCCCTCCACAGTTCATTGATTCTGTTTTACCCCCAACCACTTCTTGTCCCCACACGAGGCTCATCTCCTGGGCCCAGTTGCTCGGTTCTTTGAGTGTCCTGGAACCTTCTATGAATCCTTCCCTCTTGTTAGTCATGCTCCTGAGTTGACGGGGTGGATCCAGAGGGCAAAGAGAGTGGGGTGGCCTGTCATTTCTGGGAGCTGGCTGTAGATCTGAGACTGTTCCTGTGGAGCCTGTGGCTGCTGCTCCCTCCTGGCCAACTGTGGCCATTCTTGGGCTGAGCTCAGGCCTGGTGTTCCCAGCCATGAGGGGTGTGGAAACATCCTTCCCTGCACTGCTGGCTACACCCCAGTTGGCCTCCAGCTCATGCTGCTGCCCTAAGTTTAGGCTCCAGCATGCCTGGGGTGCCGCTGGTGCTGGGTCCCAATGCGTTGCTCCATGCTGCACAATCCTGGGGGGCATCCTCCACACTGCACTCTGTAATACAGCATCTCCTGGGGTTGGAGAAGGCAGCTACGTGCCAGCGAGCCCCTGGACTGGCAGCTGTCCAGCCCACCCTGAGTGCCCGCCCTTCACTCGTATTCTGTCTGATGGCCCTGTCAGATCCAGAGTCCTATTCTGACTCTCTTTCTGAGCCTCCCCCTCACCCCGGGAGCCAGCCCCAGGCTGTCTTTGGCCTGTCTGCCCCACTCAGACACTGATGTTCCCACAATCCCCCACCACACCTGGCCCCAGGGATGCTGGCTTTGGGCCCCATCTGATGCAATCGCTGTGCACCTTTGAAGATCACTAGCAACTGCTGACAGTCCACCCAGGTTGGCAGGACAGCTGGACTTCCCCACAACAGCTCTCAATTCTCCCTTCCCACCAGGCTGCCCCACTAAGGAGCCTGCCCCACGTGGAATCCTGAACATGTTCGGGCAAGATGGGTCTAGGGAACTCCTAAGCATTGGCTCTTGCTTTTGCAAGTGAGAAAACCAAGGCTCAGAAAAGGGACGTGGCTTGCCTAAGGCAATACCAAACCCACTGCCACTGAGTTGATTCTGACTCTTAGTAACCCGAGCTAGAATTTCTGAGACTGTACATCTTTACGGGGAGCAGACAGCCTCATCTTTTTCCAGTAGAACAGCTGGTGGTTTTGAACTGCTGACTTGGAGGTTACCAGCCCAACAGTGCCTAACCCACAGTGCCACCCAGCCCCGTGAAGGCAATACAACATAATCGTATAAGACAAAGCCTGGAACCTAGAGCTCCAGGTTGCTCTTGCTGGCAACAGGGACCGTTTAAGTCATGTCATGTGACTTTTCAAGGTCTTTCTAGCCCCAGCTGGACTTTGGCACTCAGCAAGGGACTGGGCAAATAAACAATTCTCCTGCTTCCTTGTGCATCCGACTCACCTGATGAGCTTGTCAGAAATCCAGGTTTGAGTCTCCTTTCCTTTGAAATGGACTCATTCAGACGTGGCACCCATTGCCACCCAGTTCATGCCAGCTCATTATATAAGGTAAATCTGTACAGGGACAGCCTCATCTTTCTCCTGAGGAGCAAATAGTGGTTTGGAGCAACCAGCTTTGCAATTAACAGCCCGCCGTTTATCCCCACAGCGTCCGCAGGGCTCCTTAAGCCAAGGGTAGGGCCCAGGAATTTTCATTAACAAGGTTCAAGCTGATTCAGTGCAGGTGGAATGCTCTGATCACATTTTGCAAAACACTGCCTGAGACGCCAACCTGGGGCTGCCCCAGGGACACCTAGAAGAGAAGGGGCATCGCTCTTATTGCAGCGGGGGCAGGGGAGACCATGCAAAGCAGAGGAGATGCCAGTTAAAAGGGCTGAAGGGTGAGGGACACAGAAGGAGGGCAGCCTGACCCAACAGGTGGAGGTTTAAGAGCTGGTGGGGGGTGGAGAGGCTTGAGACTGAGTCTGAGTCACTTGTCAAGGTGTTTGTAGGTGGATTTTTTGGGTAGGCTTGGGCAAAAGTCTGCCCTGCTCTCTCCTGGCTCAGGTCTGAAGGCACTGTGGTTATTAAGAGACACATTGAGATCTGGTAAGAGCTCGGTGCTTGAAGACAAAGAGATGTGCAGTCTGTAGTCCATTTGGGGAGACTGGAGTGCCAGGTGGGGGCATCCCCTGGGATGTGTCACTGCCAGCTAGGACCCCTGGGGTCCACACACTCTCGTGACACCCCTCTGGTAACACAGGGCCATTGCAAACGCATAATTGAGCCCCATCTCCGCACCTCGTGTGCTCAGTACAGCAGACTTTGCCTCAGGCAGCCTGCTCTATTCTCAGAGCAGGAACAGTATTCTCCTGTTTCCCAGATGGGGACAAGGAGGGAGGCTCTGAAAAAGTGGTCTGTATAGGATCAGACAGTCAGTCAGGGGCAGAGTTGGGATTCACGCCGGACCCTCAGGCCACACTCTTAACCACTCTTGCCCACTGTCGGTCAGGCCTGGGACCATCATGAGTTTGTGTCTTCTCCAAGCCTCTGGGACAGTGGTTCTCAACCTTCCTAATGTCAGGACCCTTTCATACAGTTCCTCATGTGGTGGTGACCCCCCAACTATAAAATTATTTTCGTTGCTACTTCATCACTGTCATTTTGCTACTGTTAGGAATTGGGTGACCCCTGTAAAAGGGTCGTTCGATCCCCAAAGGGGTCACGACCCGCGGGTTGAGAACCGCTACTCTAGGACCTGGCGTCGACTGGACAGACTAATTTTTTTAAACCATTTTATTAAGAGCTCTTACAGATAGCTGCCCTTATCATTTTCAATACATTTTCTTCTTGAACTCCTTGATAGCAGCTCCCCTTTTCCCTCCCCCCCACCCTACCACCCTCTGAACCCTCAATAGATTATATATTATTATTATTTCTTGCCTTAACTAACACCATACCATGTATCCATTCTCCTTAAAGTCTGCTGTCTGTTCCCTTCGAGGCGGGTTGAACGGTCATCAGAGCTACCGGTTCCCTTCCCCCCTGCGCCATATCCTTCTGATGCTCGGACCGACCCCTGGTGCTTCAGGCCCTGCAGCTGACCTTCCCAACACCTGCCACCAGCCCCAGCCCCCAGCGGGTCAAAATGTCCCTGCTCACAGCACGGCAGGGGACCAGGCCCAAGGGCCCACGGAAGGCGGCCGAAGCGCCGTGTCTCCTTCTCCTCGCAGACTTTGTAAGGCGCTGGTTCTTGAGGGACCACAGAGGGGGGTGCCCGCTTCTGAAGTGCCCCTGTGCACTACGCTCTGTTGTCGGAGGGGGGTGGGGGTGGGGAACCTGGGACCCAGGGGTGTGACCCAAAGGTAAGGTGGCCAGACGTCCCACTTTTTAACAATTTTTCCCATGCCCCACAGCGTTTTTAAAAAGTCCCAATTTGGGGAAAGAATGCACGACAAGCTAAGGTATACAGTTTTCTGCTGCCATGTGGCTATTTCGCCGGGATATGAGTTTTATCAATGGTGCCCCGCTTTACCAATGTTAAAATCTGGTCACCTTACCCAAAGGGGACTTCCCAAGGCCGCAGAAGGCCTGGCAGACCTTGCACTTTTGACCTGTCCTCCCTGAGCGAAACTCCCTTGTTTATTTACCTATTTCTGATGAGGAATTGAGAAGGAGTCCAACCCAGGTCATGAAGGACCAGATTAAACCAGAGGGGGCGGTGTTTCATGGGAATTAGGGGAAGGAGGACCTGACAAGTCTGTGAGCCATAAGGACTGACCGCGTGGTGGGGATGACTGGGAGCCTTCTGGGCAAAGGGAAACCAGGCTCTCTTGTGTCACTCTTCCTGTTCCATGGTGCCAGCCCATTCCCAATGCCCAGGGCCTCGACAGTCCTTTCAAATCTGTCACAGGACCCAGGACCCCTCTGGATGCTGGCCACCTTGGTGCCTGAGGACCCACCCACCGGAGCACAGCCCTGCTGGGTTGCCAGAAGCCCGGCCTCCTTTTAACAGCTGCATTCGGCGGCTGTAGCCACAGAGCCAACTGCCTCTGAGGCCGCATCTCGGTTTCCGATGGGCCAGCCTCTCCCAAACCTGTCTTTCCTCACGCTGCATCCCCACCTAGTCAGGCCCACCCAGTTCCCGGGAACTACCCAGGCAGAGCTGGGAACAAAGCGGAGTTTATGACAGTTGTGT